TGTGAGTTCGAGGCCAGCCTGGGCTACCAAGTGAGCTCCAGGAAAGGCGCAAAGCTACACAGAGAAACCCTGTCTCGAAAAACCAAAAAAAAAGACATAAAAGTTTATGTAGACATGCATAAAATAAAATAGCTAAAATCTGGGCTAAGAGCCTTAGTAATAATAGAGAGGGTTCTGAACTGGCATTCCCCTGTATTCAGATTGGTGAATACCCTAACCATCATCATAGAGCCCTCATTCAGTAACTGATGGAAGCAGATGCAGAGATCCACACCCAAGCACCAGGCCGAGCTACAGGATTCCAGTTGAAGACAGGGGAGAGGGATTATAGGAGGAACAAGGGGGATCAAGATCATGAAAGGGAAACCCACAGACACAGATGACCTGAATTTGCGGAAACACATGGACACTAACTGACTACTGGGGAGCCTGCATAGGACCTAACTAGGACCTCTCTGCATGTGGGTAACAGTTATGTAGCCTGCTCTGTTTGTGGGACCCCTGGCAATGGGACCAGGATATATCCCTGGTGCATGAGCTGGCTTTTTGAAACTCATTTCATAGGGTGGGATGCCTTGCTCAGCCTAGATGCTGGGGGTGGGGGTGGGTTGGGAAGATGGCTTGGTCCTGCCTAACTGAGCATTCCAGGCCTTGTTGACTCCCCATGGGAGGCCTTACCCTTTCTGAGGAGTGGATGGGGGTGGTCAGGGGAGGTGGATAAGGGGCAGAGGAGGGGACGGAAAAGGAAATGGGATAGGTATGTAAAATGAATTTTAAAAAAATTAATAAAAAACTAGTTAAAATCAATAAAACAAGGTAACAGATCTTTTAAACTAGAATTCTTTGAGAATTATAATTAAAACCAAATATTTTGCTAAATTATAATCTATATACTTTTGACTGGGAGAGTTAGATCCAAATTTAGATTCAAGCATGATGCTCTATTAAGTCCGTCATTGTTTCTCAAATGTGTATTAAGGAGAATGAACATAGAGAAAAGCTATTTTATAAAACTTACTACTAATATAATTCTTTAACTATATAAGAATGTTACAGAAATGTGAACTTAACAGACCAATTTCTTAGGGCTCTCCCAAGACTGACAAGCTTTGCTTTACGAAGAGTCAGATACTGTGTATGAATCTAACCACAATGGACAGTCCTGTTAGGTTAACAATAATGAGTACCAGCCAGAGTCAACCATAAAACATTCCTGGTGATTTGAAGTGGCTGAAGATAGACAAATGCATAAATAAAAGACCAACTAGATACTGATTGTGGAAGACATAATAATCTACTAATATAAAATATTTAAAGATCTAAATGAAAATGCCCTGGTGCCTATTTATTCATTCAAGATATCTGACTTATCTACCAGTTTGTGACACAATATTACTTTACTTCAATACAACTGTATGTAAAAGAAATGTGTGCTACATTGATTCTAGATTGGTTTCATCTTTGACTGTAAATACTGCTTGCTACTATTCAAGTAAGATTACAAATTTGTTTCTTGCAATTCCTTTTCCTCAAATAATTTGAACTGCTTCAATTTTCATGTTTTTCTATGCATTTAAAGTATCTTTCTATACCACAAGTAGTATAATGCATTTTTCAATATAGGTTTTAACAAATTTTTTTTTGATAATGTAAATTCAACTCTTTTCTGAAGATTTCCTTCTTGGTGATAATACCTTCTGGATTCCTACTTCCTAGAGACTGCTGGACATTTTCCCTGTGCTCAACTCTGGTTTCTTAAGAGGATGTCACAGTTCTCTTCTGTTTTACTCCTTTCCCCTCTTTCAGGTAAGCAAACAAAATATCCCCTTTCACTCTGGGAACTTAACATGTATGTCATTAGAGTTTATTCATGCTCCTGTACTCTTTCTTCTTCCACTTACACTAAGTTTTACCAGATCAATCAAGAAGAACAACCTGCCAGTGTCTTCCAGGAGCACCAGTAGAAAAAATACTGATATACCAACTTAAACAATTTGTTAAACCATGCTACTTATGCACCTACTACAATCCCCTCCAAGAGAGCAAACAATGGTTTGTTTGAAATTAAGAACTAGTAAATGAGTAACATTCCCATTTGCATAATTTAAATAAAATAGCTTAAAAGTGTGGTAACCTATGATTTTACAATTTCAGACAGCTATGAACAATAAACTGTTTAATGTTCAAAATTCAAGTTCAAAATTTTAACTCATGCTATTATATCATCTTTTATCCTCCAACACAATTTTTATTATTAATATGATCGGATAAATAATTTAACACATAAAACAGCTAAAAGGAAAAATTCTAAAATAAACTTATAACAGTTAACCAAATGGAACAGAACTTGTTTTTTTAAATTTAAACATCAAGTAGATTAAAGTATTTTCTTTCTCAAAACTTAAAAATGGCACTTTACTATTGGCATATTTACAATTTATAAAAAAAAGAATCCCCTAACTACAAAAAATAGTAAATTATTTATAAAGGAAAGAGGAAGATATACAGAATACCTATGACTTCTAAATCAATTACCCACCTATATTCCACCGCCTATATTTTGCGTCATCAAATTGTTGTCTCAAGACTAGGAAATCTATAACGTCAGGCATATCATGGTATCTATTACAAATAGAAACAAACTGATTAGGTCACACACCTAAAAATATCTAAGGTATGTTCAAATTTATTTCAATCTTGAAAAATACTCCAGTACTATCAAAGCACTGCCTTGGTATCAGTCCTTACTTCATGGTAAATGATCCACCGGTCAGTTTACCAGTATCAGGATCTAGAAAAGCAAGCTTAAGGCAGCAAAGGGTAGGCAATCCCACTTCATACTTGATACCAACGATCTTCATCAGTTCTTGTTCCTACAATACAAAAAACAAGAATTATCTCTGCGGAATAAACTATGTGCTTATGCAGGCCAGAGGTGGATTCTGGGGGCTTTCTTGAATACTATCTGTTTTATTTAGAGACAGGAAGTCTCTTACTGACCCTGTAACTTGCCATTCTGCCCTGCCCGTGCCAAGCAAGCGCTGAACTAAGGGGGCACAAACCCCCTACACACTTGAGGGGTGCTGAGGAGCAGAACACTGGTCCCCGCATTTTCCACTGAACTACTTCTCCGGCATCGTACAGTTTCTTACAGTCCAAAGAGTAAACCATACAACTTCCTTCATAATTCAAAATGTACTTTTTACATCAAGAAACATGCCAATATCATACCCTTAGTTCCATTTTATGCCATGGCTGTTTTTTAGGATTGATACTATAAATTTTATTTTTCCGGGCCATTTCAACATATGCTTCATGTCCTTGTCGGAAATAATATACCTAAAATAAATAAATAAAAAAAAAATCAAAACTAAAGGTGCAAAACAACACTAACATTGAAAATCTAATTTAGACATTACACAAAAATTCTAATACTAAATTTTTAAATGTTATTCCTCAAATTGTCCAAAGACAATCAAAACTTAAGCATCCTAATTAAAAATTCTTTTGTGTATATACTCAAAAAATTAAGATGTATAGCTTTTTTGTTTTTACTTCATTATTTCATTTCTGGATTGAAAATAAGTTAATCCATGTGGTATAACAAAGTCATTTATGCCAGGCAGCAGTGGCGCACACATTTAATCCCAGCACTTGGGAGGCAGAGCCAAGCAGATCTCTGTGAGTTCAAGGCCAGCCTGTTCTAGAGTGAAATCCAGGACAGGCACCAAAACTACACAGAGAAACCCTGTCTTGAAAACAACAACAACAACAAAAAAAAAACCAAAACAACAGCAACAAAAAAAATGAAGTCATTTATAACCAGGGGTTTAAACTATTTGGTCATATTCTTTTGTTTTTATTTTTTAAAATCATGTGTTTATACATATGCAGAAAACTTTGAAGCTGAACATGTATTTTCATATATGTTTTATCTAGTTTGATCCTTAATGTGCTAACTCTTAAGTGCACAAACATGTATATGCATGTTTATTTCAAGATGAAACTTAAGTGACTTCTAGCATCTATCCTGCAGAACAGGTATTGGAACAGTCTGCCACTACATATTTTGATCATTACTAAAAGTAAAAACATTAATTTACTTTTTTTTTTTTTTGGATGTAGGAGTTTTGGCTATATATATGCACGCCACTTGCAAGCCTACTAGCGTCTGCAGAGCTCAGAAGAGGGCATCAGAGTTCCTAGGACTGGAGGTACAGAAGGTTGTGAGCTGCTATGTCGGTGCTGAGAATTGAACCTGGGTTCTCTGCAAGAGCAACAGTGTTTTTAATTGCTGAGCCAACTCTCGAGTCCAGAAAAGCTATTTGAACTGTGTTTAAATGATCAGTCATATTTTCAGGAGTCACCATCCTACATATTTTCATTCTGTTTTTACTGCTCCTGTTGCTTGGAGAGTCACTAGAGGGAGCAGTGTTAAGACACTGATTTCAGACTCAGGCGGGGTGATGAAGGCTCAAGCCCCACAACTGAAAAGACCATCTAAATAGAAAACAACTGTGGCCATCCGGAAAGTCCTGCCATGTTATTTTAAAGCTACATAACTTGGTAAGAAGTATCATTGTAAAGGTATAGTAACGGTCTAATCTCCAAAAGTTGTTGAGGCAAGAAGGATCATTAAATAAAAATTATTCCAGAGTTTTCTTTAGATTCACTCTTCCACTTATTTCCATTGTAAAATTGTTAGTTCCTACTTTATAGTATCAATTACTGTGCTTTGAAAAAGGAAGCCTCTATTTTAAGTATTTTTACACTTAGTCTGTTGGATGTTAGGTGTCATCTCTTCAATCTGTATAAAAATGAGAAGATATTATCCTGAGAAATTCCGATATAGTATTAAATTAATCTCAAATTCTTTTTTTTCCACCCCACCCCCAAGACAGAGTTTCTCTGTGTAGCTTTGGAGCCTGTCCTGGAACTAACTCTGTAGACCAGGCTGGTCTCGAGAGATCCGCCTGCCTCTGCCTCCTGAGTGCTGGGATTAAGGGCATGCACGATTACCACCTGGCTTCAAATTCTTAAGTACAGTCTAAACGGGTTTCTTACTTTTAGTTTTGAAAAACCAAAAATAAGTAAATAAGTTAATAAAATTAATGGCTTTGAGGACAGGTAAATAATCAATGTGAGTAAAAAATTAAATGGAAACCAAGTACAAAATCTTTTTCTTTTAATATGCTATACATTTCTCTCTAGATTAGGAAAAAGAAATGCATTTTTATTTAGAAATACAAAAGAATGTAGATGGAAGAAATCTCAAAAGGCCCTACCCATAGAGGAAGAACTACAGGCAATTAATGGCTGCTTAAAGAGGGAGAATAGGTATTCTACAGGGACAAGCCCCTTGGTAGTAGTCAATCCTAAACAAATACACATATTCAACACTAAATGGACCCAGCAGGCTGCATGTACACAGACATAAAAATAAAGAAAAAGGTCATGAATTTGAGGAGGGTGAGAAACAGGATTTGGGGGAAGGGCACAAATGATATAAAAAGAGTCCTCATAAGAACATCTTGAAAAACTTAAAAAAAAAAACTGTAATAGTAGCAAGAAACCCTAAAACAAATGAAAAACAGCAATTAAATCCTTTTGTTAAAATATGCCAGTTTTAATTAAACATGGCAATGAAGTCTCTATTCTATCAAACTATCTAAATTATCACATATTTATAGGAGTCCTGGTGAATATCATTACTACATCCTTGGTTGTATTTTTCCAATACTGACATGAGAATTTTTTTAGGAACCTACTGCAATCTTCTAGAAGTGTGTTTCAAGAGCTATCAAAGACACTGAGGTTACTACTTGAAAAAACATAGGTAATTTTAAAAATTTTAAAGTTTAAAAGTACCTCATCACCCATTTGTGGTACAAATGGACATCTTCTGGGAAGTGTATCTGTAATCCACGTTGAAGGCAACCATTCTTCTAACGTAAGACCATTTTCAGTTAGTTCTCCTACGGCCAATCTCTGAGAAAAGTGTGGAACAGCATTAGTAGTATCTTAAAATACAAGGAAATGACATCTGTACAAAGATTTTATTCTCTAGCATTAAAACCTTATTCTAGAAAAGCAGGAGACCTAGCAACAGTTATTTAACTTTTCCAAATCACTGATGGAGAGCTGGAGACTAAAGCAAAATGCAGTTTTCACAAAACTCTCTAAAATTATCCTTATAGACACCAAACTATAAACTCATGAGGTTTCTTCCCCTTTCAAAGTAAGTTATCTTATAAACAGTACATACAGCAAGTTAAAATGTGCTCAACAGTCTTAAACTCCTAGACTTAGGGTGGTAGTAGTAACTAAGTAAGATTAAGTAGTACTGAGGATCCAGAAAACTAATTGCTTTCATGACAGCCATAATTACTTCCATGAATTGGACATTTCACTTCTAAATAACCTAAGAACAGTCTCATTAATATTCAATCATTCACTCACACTTATTCTCTCTCTTACTTTGTCTCTATCACTCATTCTATTTCTTTTAGACATGTAGCCCAGGCTGGCTTCTAACTTGCTACGTAGTGAAGTCTGATCTTGAATTCTTAATCATCTTTCCTTTCACTTCCTCACTGCTGGCATACAGGAGCATCCCCCAAGGAAAGGTCTCCCTTCTTGAAAGTAGTCATTTCATTTTTTACTCACCTATGCTCCTCCCACCAACAAGTGGTCTAATGACAATAGCCTTTATATTAAATTACATGCATGGAAAATGAACTAAAAAAAAAAAAAACCACTAAAACCTAAGTAGAGAAACTTTATGCAAAAGATTAAAAATGTGCTTGAGTGTAACTAAGAGTTGTACACTTTATTTTGTTATGGTTTGTTTAAGCATTAACACTGAACTAATAAAAATCAAGCTGTGTTCTACCTACAGCTAAACCACACTGAATGAGATTTGTATCATACAGAAGAAGCAATACCACGACAGCAAACTTGTAGGAGACACTCCTAGAATTATTTTACAATATACATTTTCTTCTTATTCCTACTGATCACACATGGCATTTTTCAATTTAATGCCTCAGGAGTGTTCTCATCTTGAGGAACATGGTGAAAAAGGAAAAGCCTTTGATAATTCTTCTATGTAAGAGATGGTTTCACTGGAAAATCGCAGGCTTAAAAACTTAGGAGCAGCCGGGCGGTGGTGGCGCACGCCTTTAATCCCACCACTCGGGAGGCAGAGGTAGGCGGATCACTGTGAGTTTAAGGCCAGCCTGGGCTACAGAGCAAGTTCCAGGAAAGGTGTAAAGCTACACAGAGAAACCCTGGTTTGAAAAACAAACAAACAACAACAACAACAACAACAACAACAACAAAAACAACTTAAGAGCTGACATATTTTAAAAGGATGGCTGAATGTGTAAGGAGGAACAGCAAATGACCTATGGACAAAAAGCACTATCGTGCGGTGGTGGCGTACGCCTTTAATCC